ATCCTAATGGGACAGCTGTAGCCGAGCTGGAGGACGATGATGGGCCATTGATTGCAGGGCGATTTGCATCCCATCACATCCACATGTCAAAATGTCCTTGAGCAAAACACTGAACCCCAAACTTCAAATAATGTGTGTATGCAGGGGGAAAATCAAACACAAGAGGCCGTGTTGGCTTGTTTTTTTCGAGAGGCTTAACTCGGGCTGCTTGGTCAGATGATGAGGTGGATATGCTGACATGCTATTCCATAGTTGCTGAGACATTTTATGCAAGACCACAAATGTGAAGCTCATAGCGGCCCTCGAGGAAAAGCAGAGAAAGGGGGGGAATCTCTGAAACTGAAAGACAATCTAGGGAGCTGTGAATGAATTTTCTGCCACTCCATCCAGATGGGGAGATCAAGGGATCACCAAAGTCTCAGGGATACGTCACCGGGGCATCATAGGTGTGTGTGTTAAAAATCATCAAAACTTAGGGGTGACCTAATGGCTGAGTGATGTCATGTCATTCCCCTACTCTCTGTCTTCACCACTGTCCGTTGTAATGGAAAGGTCAAATGACTCTTTAAAAAATTTGTTGTTGAGACATTTTGGGAAAAAAAAGTTTAAATTTCACAATGGTGCAAAAGGAGAAGTCCAAAGGTCACCAGAGTGGTGGTGGTGATTTCCAGAGTAATACATCCAATTTTCACTCTGGACTAAAGTAGCTGACAAACCGACAGCCTGACATTGCCATTCCTACAGCAAAACCGCTGTGGCTAAAATAAAGTCCCTTCGGTTTGCCAAAAAAAATGTAGGCAAACCAAAATGATAACGTTGGTCACTTTACAGCAGCAACAACATTTTGGTTAAAGTCCCATCTTTGATTAAAACCCCTATAAACTCATCTCTGTGTATCAAAGTTACATATTTAGACGTCTGTTCCATGAAAAACAATCCTTCCATGCCTTAAAATGACCCAGATGTGACTCTACAGTGGTGCTTCTTCTAAACTGTGCAGATATTTGAAGTCTCTCTCTTTATCCACCCCTTCACTACTTGATGGAGCTCGAGCACGCCAGCTCACCTGCAACTCTGCTCATACACGGTAAAGCTGTGTTACCCTACAAAAAGGCGAGTTGGAGTAATTTAGCCACATATGTTTAAACCGTTTCAGAGTTTGAATAATGATATAGAAAGCTCCATTCTGCAAGTGGACCAGACTGATTCTTTATGTTTGTTGCCTATAAAACTTCAGAAGTTTAAATCTGTGTTTTTCAGATTTCGGGCTGCA